GGGGTCCCCTCCCCGCCCCGGGCAGCGACCTCCCTGCCCTCCTCCACCCAGTGCCGGGCACAGAGCCGGCGGCTGCACACCCACTGGCCCAAACCTGCCCGAACTGTGTTCCGTTTCTTCGGGATGCACCTCCCCCTCCAGGAGGCAATAAAATGGAACCGATTGGCACTAGACTGGCACTGCAGTGGCTTTACTTACGGTCTCGCACTCTCCTCTTGCACAGGAGTGGGCCTGGGGCCAGGACAGTTTGCTGTGGGAAATAGTGTTTGGTCCTGCGGGCCTTTCACTGCCTCTGAAACGGGCCTGTTTGGAGGCTAATTCTGTTTCACAGGGAGCACCTGTGGGTGATTAATAGCAGAGTTCACCGCCCTGCTTTTTAAGTTCCAGATAATTCACCATATTTTTTTGTGATTTGTATTTTATTTTCCTATCTGATAATACCTCCTTTGTCATCCCAGACCTTAATTTCCTAATCTTCTGTTAGATCTTCCAATTTGCTTTTGTCTATACACCTCCCCGCTGCCCCCCGCCCTTTTTTGGTCTGGCTTGCCCCTTGTTTCCGGTTGATTTTGTTACCCTCACCCTACCCTCATAGTCCCGTTCTTCTGCTTTCTAAATATGTTCTTACTCTCCTTTAGATGGGGAGCCAAAGTTCATGCTTTCTTTAAATCAATATTGTACCTTACCCATAAATGCGCTTGTTCCACAACCTGTATAGGATTTTAAGGACACAGAGGAGCAAAATGGGGAGAAGAAATGGTGAGAACTATGGCACCAGCCTGCGTGTGTCAAACATCTCTCATGAGGTACAGCACATGCTATTGTCCTTGAGCGTTTGGGCAGCAGCTCCCGTTGTTCAAACCGAACCCCATGGACTTGCTGCTGAGGTCCCTTGCTGCTGTCTCTTGGAGAACAGTTTGTCCTGTGCTTTTAACCCCTTGGCACATTTGGAATCCCAAATGGGAAATTTTTATGTCTTGTAACAAAGAAAAAGTTAACCAGCTTCTCTCCAAGTCTGGAGACATTTCTAATGACAATTGGATTTTGTTTTATTTTCCCTCACATATTTTGTGAAAAATATTAGTAAAGCAGGTGGAATACCAAAAATAACCAATTCCCAACCTGTAAGGAATTTGCAATCTCGTTGGCTTCATGTGTGGTTGACGGCCTTCTTCCAATGGACAAACTTGGTTATATTCCTTTTTTGTATGATCTCCACAGCACCATCCAGCAGCTCCCCTTTACCATGTTAATTTAAGAATGTTTCTCTCCCTTGTTATTTGAAACAGTAGTATACCAGGTCACAGACATAGCTGAGAGAAGCTTGAGCATCTGTTGGAGACATTTTAAAAATACAAATAACAGGGCCATATCCTCATCCTACTAAATTAGAATTCATAGTATTTTTTTCAACTGTTATTTTTTAAAAGCTCCCTAAGTAATTCTCACATAGAGATGAGACTTCTATTATTTCAGAGAACATAGAATAATTTACTAATTTTATTTTTCAAACACCACCAAACAAAGATAATCTACAGCCTGCCTCCCAAGATTCAGCTCCCCTTCCTATCAGGAAATGATCCTTGTGGATCAGTTAAATCCTCAAACGGTATTTAAGCTTAATTCTCCCTGTTCCTCCTTAGTGTGGGGATGACACCTAACACTACCTAACATCTTACTTGTATATTGCTTAGAGTTTAATTTACAAATGATTTCCTCATTTGAGACAGAAAAAAAACTGAGTTCATTTCTAAAAACATTACTTTAAAAAATAATCACCTCTTCCAGGATAAATTATTACAATCCTCTCCTACACATCCCACATTTTCCCCCCATAGCACTCAGCACAATGTCTGGAACATAAACACTCAGTTGATATTTGTACATTTTCTTACTCATTTTTTGAGTATTTCCTCAGTGTTTTCAACATCTGAAGCCCAGAATGAGTAGTGGGCTGGTCATTGTTGAGTATAATGTGAGGATTAGGAATTTCTTTTGGTTGATTTATAGGCTTTCAGATACAGAAACTGGTGAATTTTACACAATGAAGTGGACATTATATTTTAAACTCAATTTTGAAAACCCGTGTGCCATTATTTTTAAGAAAGTGAGAGTGAAACCATAAGTTATTGTAAAAGCCTTTCCATTTCCTGACTAATAAGTGTTATCAAGCTGATAATAACTTGATAAGAGAACATTGATACTCCTCAAATATGCTGGTAGTACCCTTATAGGTGGCAGAGGGGTCATGAAACTTTGTGCCTTTTGTCACACTCTACCCAAAGGACATGTCAAATGATGTACTTGAGCTTTTTAAAATTTTCTTAACATTAAGTTTATCCTAAAACAAATATTGTTGTAGAATTTATCTCACTGGAATTTGGATTCAGAAGTACCTGTTCCTGAGAATAAAAACCTCCCACCTGGAAGGGATAGTGCAGCAGGTGGTAAGAAATCCTAGATATCTATATACTTATATTTATAAATATATGAAAATGTACTCATATGAATAACCACTCATATAAAAGGGGGTTTGTTTTTAGTACAACCAATTTTATGTAACTATTAATTGTTATTTTTTTATACACATTCTTACAGGCAAAATTAACAAGGTAAGGATAAATGTTTGGCTTTAAATAATTCACAAAACATTATTTTAAAATTAAATGTTATATTCTTTAAAAAATTCTTTACTCAAAGTTCAACTTTATATTTCATGTCTGTAGAATTCTTTTTTTTTTATTGATACTTTTTTTTTCTTTTTTTTTTAACCTTTATTGTTCAGATTATTACATTTGTTCCTCTTTCCCCCCCCCCATAACTCCCCTCCCCAGTTCCCACGCCCAACCCTCCGCCCTCCCTCCCCACCCACTGTCCTCACC